GGGATACGTTCAAGCAAGCTTTCTTGGCTCGATTTGATACGGTCAGTGAAGATGTCGCCTGGTACGTACTAAAAAATCGACCCCAAGGGCCAGGAGAACTGTTACCCGATTTCGTCGATCGGTTTCAAACCACATTGGACAAATCTGGGTGAGACGAGAAATCCGCTCTTGATTTGTTCATCGATCACTTACGAAGTCCAACATTAAAAGGGAAGCTGCAGAAAAAGGTTCCGCCGAAAACACACCCGTTAACGGCTATCATAACTAAAGCATTGGAATTAGACCTGGCCGATACAAAAAAGTATATAAGTGAGGGAGACGAAGACATTACGGATACCATACGGGATGTGACGGCTAAAAGGCGATCGTGGTTGCAGGCGGTCGAACGATTTTATCCCCGCCCTGACCATGATCTTCCCGGCGGAATTGTTTCTGATATCCCGCCTGCTTCTTCCTCCTCTCCCCCCGTGAATCAATCGATCGCGACAATCAAAAGCGGAATCTCACCTGAACCCCCCTCGCCAACCATAACTAATTTGCATCTTGCTCAGATGATCCATACGGCCACTACCAAACAGTCCGAATGGATGAGCAACTTGATCCAAATGAAGGCAGCCCACATGGAACGAATGGAGCAAATAATGAGCAGGTTAATTAAGCCCAACCCGGCTCCTGCTCGGCCTGCCCCTGCTTCCTTCCCGCTCTTACGTGCTCCGCCTGCTCCAGGATTCGCACCTCAGTTTCCCCATCTAGCTAATCCGGCAGGCAAGATCGAGTGTTTTAATTGCAAGCAGCCCGGACATTTCGCCCGAGACTGTCCGCAGCTAAAACGTAATCAGCCTCCCCCTGCTGCGGCCCCTGTCGCCCTTAATCAAGGACAAGTGGCCGCTCTGATGGATACGGACCAGGAAGGAGAGCTCGTAGCATATGCTCCAGAACAGCCTTCCTCTTCGACAACAAGGGCGTCGACATCCGGAGCTTCTTCCTCTAACGCTGCTGATATAGTTGATCCTCTCGAGTATCTCCATCTCGCAGGCATGATCGGAGCAATTCGATCGGCCCTGGATGATCTCGAATGGGTCGATCGCGAATCCAATCCGGGACCGCAGTTTGGGACCGGAGATATAGATGTATTGAAAACGCTCAAGCAACTAGATATTCGCTTACCGATTTCAGCAGCGAACGATAAACTTCTACAACATTGCCAAAAAAATCAAAAGCGCTTCACCTATCACCGCATACAACGGATGTTGAAGAAGAAAGAAGGAAGCGAGGAGGTTGCATCTCCCGAGCCTGATATGAAAGAACCTGAACCCGAGGCTGCACGAATAGCCGCGATCTCTTTAGCGGAAAAAGATCACTTCGTACGAGCTCGACGAGTATTATAAAAGAGTGCGGAATGCGACTGTGAAGTCTGGGGCAAGCCGTTTAACTCTCTTATTGATACGGGGTCTTCTGCAGTAGCCATATCATTAGATGCTGTCAAAAAGACGGGACGGCTTGGATCCATTCTTCCTCAATCTAGCAAAGACAACTGTGTCTCTGCCGACGAGGAAGCAATGAACATTGTAGGCGTTATCGAGAACGTAGCCGTAAAAGTCGGACGAGTACACGTCCTTGTTAACGCACTCGTAATCGATGTACGTTCCTATTCTGTGTTGGGCGATGGCGGTGGGTGCTCGACTGCACTTCAATTCGAAGCAACTGGTGCTCACGCAAACTGGGGGAAAGCCTCAAACTGTTCCCTTGCGAATCTTCACCCGAACGATAAAACGGGCCCCTAACTTGGCCCAAATAGGGATGATTCGATGCATTAATTCCGAGGGATGCACTTCCTCGGACGACGGTAACGAGATCAGGGAACATGAATATGAAGAAGAGATGCCCAGTGAAGAAGAATGGAAGCACCTAGTCGAACTTTTCGAACGTGAAATTCCTGAAGAATTTCAAATGTGCCCCGACACTACCCAAAACTTCCACGTGGATTTCGACGACAGCGCGTTCGCGCCCCTGACAACCTAGGTCAGCCCTTCAATCCTTCTCGGGGAACCCATCTTACAAGTGTCCGAACTGGCTGATGATTCGGAACCCCCTCGTACCTTGTATGAAGGAGCACTTTCCTTACGTACACGTTATCAACAAACAGAACATTATTTGGATGTCTCTGTCTTTCCGCCCAGATCGTTACTAACGCCAAGAGCCACCATCGCCTTGATCAAACAGGAGGCGGAAGCACCGGTAAGTGATGTACCTAATCAGATGTAAGAAATGACGGATCTAACGGGGCTGACTGTGGAACCGACCTCGGTTGGTTCGGAGACTGATGCTGAAACTAAAGAAACAGAGATGATCAGTCCCGCTGAGTCCCAGATGATAGCCATTGTCTTCTCTGTTCGCACCAGTAGTTCCGTTTTCTCTAGTGTCGATGGTCAACGGAAACGGCCGGTTGATTGGGTCGATATGCCCCTTAAGATTTTTGGGGAATCGACGATCACCCTTCCGAGTCACGTTCCCCCGGAACTACGAAAATTGTTAATTTGTGTGTTAAATGGTTACGCAGACGTATTGAGTGTGCACGATAATGACATCGGTTTAACTAATGTGATCGAGCATGCCATTCTTACGGGAGACCACCCACCCATTAGCTGCGTTCCTTACCGATATTCGCCGGCTCAAAAAGCTGCCGCTTTTTAGCGGATTAAAGAATTCAAAGCTAATGGTTGGATCGAACCCGCAATAGGTCCCTGGTCTTTTCCCGTAGTGATCGTACCTAAAAAGGCCGGAGGGATTCACATTTGCATTGATTATCGGAAGTTGAATGATATCACGATCAAAGATGTGTACCCCCTCCCCCGGATTGATGAGTTGTTGGATGCGATTGGAAGTGCGTGATTTTTCAGCAAGTTTGATGTTCGCCATGGGTTCCATCATCTCCTCGTTCGAGAAGAAGATCGTCCGAAAACAACGTTTGTGCTTTTCGAAGGTACGTGGCAGTGGATTCGATGTCCGATGGGTATCTGCAACGCCCCAGCGACCTTCCAGCGAGCCATGAATATGGCCTTTCAAAACTTCGTAAGGAAGACTCATTTGGCACAGAGCATCATCAAACTACTGCGTAATTGTGTACATGGATGACATCTTGGTGTATTCGAGTTCCTACGAGGGACACGTGCAACACATTGAATGGGCTCTGCATGCATTGCGAGATGCGGGCTTCAAGATGGTGCTTGAGAAGTGTCAGTTTTTTCTCACCACCATTTCCTTCTTAGGGCACGTGGTGACAGACAAGGGACTCCAACCGGAGCCGCAGAAGGTGGCAGCTGTCAGAGACGCGCCGGTGCCTACGACTATCACGCAAGTTTGCGCTTTTCTGGGCCTGGCCTCATACTATAGAGGATTTATCAAGGGCTTCGCGGCGACTGCGGGACCCTCACAAATCTGCTGCGCAAAGATCAGCCGTTGATCTGGATGCCGGAGTGCGATCAAGCATTTTCCAAACTCAAGGCCGCTTTCATTTCGGCTCCGGTCCTTATAAGACCGGATCCCGAGAAGCCTTTTGTTCTCATCACTGACTGGCAGCCGGAAGCCATTTCGGCGATTCTTGCCCAGGTGGGACCAAGCGGACTCGAGAATGTGGTAGAATATGCGTCCAAATCCGTACCTACCTGCTAGCGCAACTACGCCGCTCCCACGGGAGAATGTTATGCGGCTCTCTGGGGAATCAGCCACTTCCGCGCTTATCTTTATGGCCGAAAGTTCACCCTGGTGACTGATTATGAGCCCTTGTTGGCCCTGAAGAAATCGAAGGATTACTCGGGCATGATCGGGCGATGGGCAACGGTGCTGCAGAGCATGGACTTTGACATCCGTCACCGGAAGCACGAGAAACATGGGAACGCGGACGGATTGACATGATTGCACCGGCCTGAGAAAGTTCTGAAGAGTGAGGAGGTGATTCCGTGGAACGTACCTGAACAAGAGATCGGGCCTTGGTACGGCCAAGTGGAGATCTTGTCGAAGGAGTAAGCGACACGCGGACTAATCCTCTCTCCCTTATTCAGTCCCATCTCTTCCCCTCTGTCGTCATGTCTGCTCCACCTGTCTCCGCAGCCCCTTCTTCCCCTACTAATTCTGCCCCTCTTACTTTCTCTGTTTTCTTTGCCACCCTCCCCGATAAATTCTGTTATTTTTGCACATGTACTGCACGAGTTTATGGGGTCGAATGTCATCCCTTCGAAGATGGGTTTGTCGATTGGGTAGAATGTGCCACGTGTGTCTATCGTGCGCATGGGGCCTGCGTTCGATATCGAACGAATAGCAAGGAATGGAGGTGCCCCCTGTGTAGAACGAACAAACTCCCCACAGAGGTTCAATTCGAGGCCGCTCGTACGGACGGCCCTGAATACGATGAAAAATACCGACGAGCGGAGGTTTGGACGGATAAAATTTTATTGGCAAAACTAGCGGGGTTATCATTGGGCCACCTCACCAAACACGACAGACGTAGGGCGACTGAGAGATCTCGGGACTATCGATGGATCAACGGTCATTTGGAAAAGCGTAAAACTGACGGATCAGGCTCGTGGTTGACGGTTCCCCATCCATTCCAGAGATACGATTGGATCCGATCTGCTCACGAGGAACAGGCCGCTCATTTCGCGATACGTGTCACGGAGGCAACTGTAGACCAGAACCGATGGTTCTGGTCCAATATACGAGATGACGTCAAATACATTGTCGCTAACTGTCTGGTCTGTGCCACCAATCGCGCCCCTATACGGGGACCAAACACGATCGTACCTACGGAAGTAGAGCGTCTTTTCCAGCGAGTAAGTATGGACACGACAGATGTTGATGTGCCACCTGGCCCAAACCGCTGTGAATATTCTATCCTGTTAGTATTAATATATTATTTTTCCAAGTACATCGAAGTCTATCCCTGTAAGACCCGAAAAGCCGCAGAAATAGCCACATACATCGAACGGTTCCGTTATACCCATCTAGATACGGAAGAAATTCTAATCGACAATGAATCTGAATTTAAAGGTGAGGTAGAAGAACTACTTGCGCGAAGGGGCGTCATGCTCAGACATACGGCACCCCACGTGTCCCAGTCAAACGGCTTGGCCGAAAATGCCAACCGTATGATCAAGACCGCCCTTCGCAGGAACTTAGCGGCCCACGACACGCGTCCTTGGCCCGAGATCGTATATCTGATCGTCGGGATCCACCGGGCCACCCCTCACGAGTCTATGGGGTTTACCCCCTTTCAGCTTCGAACCAATAGCCTCCCCTATGTCGATTACCGGGATAACTCGAAAATTGCCGAAGCAGGGGGTAGAGACACGCGTGCGGCTCTCAAGGCCAAGGCCAAAAGGTACGCCGATTTAATGGAACGGGCCGTTCCGAAGCTAGCCCGAAAAAGGGAAAGGATGACCGAACTGGCTTACGGTAGGCAGGTCCATAGCTACGAGGCTCGGAATGGAAATGCTGGGCCCCAGTACCAATATAAATTAGGGGACCTAGAGCAGATACGTAAATGTGCACGTGACCGGAAACTCGCTCCCAAGTTCTCTGGCTGTTTTCGCGTCGTCGAGCTCGGACCCAACGGTGCCAACACGGTGCGCATTGCGCCTGAGGCTAGTGCCAGCCATAGCTCTGTCCCCATTGTCCGGCATACCTCCTACCTCCGTCTTCTTCCTCCTTCTGATCTTCCTCCTTTTGATCTTCCTCCTTCTTCGTCCTCGGACAGCAAGGAAAACGACGACGATCTAACCCTCTCTCCCCTTTCTCCCTCTTGTCCTTCGTCTTCCTCTCCGACCTCGCCATGAGTTTTATCACGGAGCGGGTTCTTGACGTACAGCTGTTGCAGCCACGTGGCCACATCTCGGAGATTCGACAAGTTTGTCACCCACGGCTCAATGCGGATCTTCGGCGTTTGATGCGATTCTTTCGCGACGACGGTATCTGTGCAGCCGCCGCGTTTCAGATCGAAGGGAGTCCTCGCGCAGTGATATTCGCGGAGGTAACCGTAGTTCATCGGCGAGCGGGGCCCAGAACAAGCCACATCACCACGGTGGCGGCTTTCAGCGGCGACATCAGCTCAGTCAATCCGCAGTGGCATACCGCGATCTTGACCTCGCTGCGCGAGTGGATGGAGCAAGTGTCCAACGTGTGGCGGCACGTCGTCGCCCGACTAGGGTTCAACCTCATTTCGATCTTTGCACCGGATCTTGACAACATTCGCCGATCACTGCGCGAGCGGCCAGTTGTGATTCCCACCATCGTTCCCTTCCCTCGTCCTCAATGAACCACGCCGATTTTCTCGCTCCTCTCTCCATCTTTGGTCTCCCCTCTCTTTTCCCCACCTTCTGGCAATCCGATCTTCAACCTTCTCTCTCCTTCTCGTTCGAACCTCTTTCGGTCCCTCTTATCAATCCTGGAGAGTGGCGGCTGTGGCGCGAAACTTTTGAGGAGCTGTCTTTCTGCTTGGCCAGAGTACAGGTGACGTGAACATCGGTCAGCGGGCATCCTGCGTGGATCGAAAATCCGGAGCTGCTAATTATCCAAGCTTGGAAGACTAACGCGGAGGGCGATCTCCTTGGCTTTCTCTTTGGTCCGGTACAGCCGGGGCGCCGCCAACTGATTGCCCAAGAGCTCATCGCACCGATCGTGCAATTGGCGGACGATCTCTCGCCCGACGTCTACTCACAGAGTGACGACAGTCCTGCTCCGTACATTTTCGAACGATCATTGGATCCGTACATTCAGTGGACCGCGTGCTTGGAGGAACCCAGGGACGAGGATACGCTACCATCACGGCAGGAGTATCTGAAGCCGTATGATATCATCCCTCACGCCTTCTATCCGAGGGCAGAGGAAGTGGTGATCGACGACGACGACGACGACGAAGAGGACGAAGACGAGGAAACCTCGGAGGAGGGAAACTATAGTGAACATAGCGAGGGTGAGCTGAGCGAAGAAGAAGAGGAGGAAGAAGAAGCCGGATCTGAGTGGGAAGCCCCGCCGGAGGAAGCGACGCGTACGGAAACGGAGGCAGAAGATCCGGAAGCGGCGCGAAGGCGCGAGGAAATTGCCATCGGGAAGCGACAACTGGAGTTCGCCAGCGGGGCCAGCCTGCGCATCGGCAACGATCCGACCAGGGATCCGGAGCCACCAAGGCCCGAAGATGGCGGACCTGCGGCCGCCACCTCAAGTACCGCGCGACGGAGAAGAAGCAGATCCTCCTCCTCCTCAAACCCCACCTGTCCCCCAGTTCGTCCACGTACCGATGCGGGCGACAGGCCTTCGTCCTCGCACGCTGTCCCGCCGACCCCTTGATTTCCTCACCCTCGAGCAGATCCGTACCCCTGTCACCTTCCCTCCCCATCCCTTCCTGCCCCAGTTCTTCCGCGACTTCTACTCTACCCGCTTGCTCGCCACCGTTTACCCCCACGCATCCCTTCAGCCTGCTGCCCCCACGTTTTGTTGGCATATTCTCTTGTTCAGTGCTGCGTGGGAGTGGTGCAACGTGGTAGAAGTTTACTGCGTTGCCACGGGGACAATCCCCTCTTGCCGCTACATTGAGATCTTTCGAGCGGCACTTTTTCGCACCCTCTCCTCCTTCTATCGTGACTACCTCGCTTCCCTCCCTCGCAGCGGCGATCACTTCCCCCGCTTCCACCGGATCATCCGATACGAGGAGCTCCCGGTGACGATGGAAGGAATGAATCACTTCCTACCCCCACTTCCTCCCCGTCGTCCCCGTGAGATTCCCCCCATGTACCGCCTCTACTGACCTATTCCAACTAGGCGGTAGATCCCATCCATG